TAGGTGTGTCAGAGACAATAAGATTGGCACAGGATAGAGCAGGGTTTAGGGCTGTTGTACATAGGATCGCTATGAGTCTCAGGTGACTAGACAGCACATAACAACAAAGAACATTTATAATCTATCACATTTACAATTTTTAAATAAAAACTTCAAGGGTTGAGAAGCTTGAGGTTGGTGGGAAAGAACAATCTTCAGCTTGCAGGAGTATGAATTAATTTAGTATTGTTGTTACATGCTATCGAGTCACCTGCACCTCATACCAACACTATGTATAATGTACATTAGCTCTGAATCCTGCCCTATCTTGAAGCAATTTCATCATCTCCAACAAACCAAATCCCTTTTCTCCAGTCACTGAGTAAATCCATCTCATCCTGAGTCTTCCTCTCCTGCACTGTCTCACCACCCTTCCAAGCATGATGTCCCTCTCTAAGGACTGCTCATCCCTGGCCATGTGCCCAATGTATGTGAAACAGTCTTCAAAAGCCTTGTTTCTAGGGAGAAGCTTGGTTTCACCCTCTCCAAGACAGATTTGTTTTTTCTCCTGGCACTTCACGGTATGTTCAACATTCTTATCCAGTACTGCAACTCTAAGGCACTGATCCTTCTTCTATCATTCTTAGTTATTGTCCAGCTCTATGATGCATAGCAAATAACTGCAAAGACCATGCTGTGGATCAAGCACACCTTGGTTTCCAAACTGATGTCTTTGTTCTTCAGTCCTCTAGAGAAATCTCTGACAGCAGATTTTCCCAAGGCAATTCATTTTTTGATTTCCTGACTGCTGGTGCCAAGAGTGTTGATTGTGTAACCAAGCATTACACATAGACAATCCATCTGTATATATCAAGAGTTAAGAGCACCTATATACTTCAATATTGTATTTTACTCATATCAATTTATTTCTAGAAATAACATAAATAATGTTATGAGTATTGTAATTAATGTTATAAAACAATGTGCATAAATCGTCCAATAATAAACCAATATGCTTTGTAAGCTTTCACTCAAATCACACAGACACAAAAGAAATAACATAATTAAAAATTGTGTGAAAAGTTACACCTACAAAGATGTTCATCACAGTGTTGTTTATGAAAGTAAAAAGAAGCAATTTAAATATCCATCAGTAAAATGCTAAGCTGATGGAAGTATATGTTTTCTGGATAATGAAATCCTATGCCAATATTAGGTGGCACTGCTTAACTGTATGGAAAGTTATGTGACAGTGTGTTCACAAGTTAAAAATCAGCTTGTATCTATCATGTAGGCTCCCATTTACAAGATATGTGTTGTTACTATGCACCATTGAGTCAGAATAAATCATAGCTGACCCTCTAGTGAATTCTCAGAGGAATTCTGTGGGAGGAGACTGCCCATCCTTATCCAACGGAGCATCTTGTGAGTTAAACCTCACGCCTACCACTAAACCACCACGGGAGTTTTTACAAGACATAAGAAATGCTAACAAAGTTGAAAAGAAATTTACCCAAATATTAATAAGGATTATTTTGGTCAATGCAATTTGCTGGTATTTATATAATCCTTCTGTTGTTGCTTGCTCATTTCCCCTTCCCTCTGTGACTCTCTCTTTTGCACAAGCATTGTTTGTGCAAAAAGATAGCATTTAAAATGGGGCTTTCTAGGAGGCTTTCATCCTGAGAACTAGAAAAAATTGAAACTTTTCCTCTTGACCCTCTCCTCATACCCATCAGGCCTTCTCCAACTTGCTATTTGAACTCACTAGAATCCCTTTCTTCTTAGCTTCCCTCTCGTCCAGCTTCATTCTATTAGAACTCTAGAGCACGTTTTTCCAGAAATTTAGCTCTCTAGACAGTGGTCGGTTGTCGCCCAGAAGAGAAGAGAAAAGCCTCTTGCAAAGAGTAGGGGAAACTCCCTGTTCTTTTTATGAACCCTGAAGCTACTGGTGGTGTATCCCATAAACCAAAGAACCTTTATTCTAGCTATTTTCAGGATCCCAGTATTCTGGTGGGCCTGCAGTGACAATGCTGTGGGATGTGTTCTGGGTGCAACCTGTCAACTGTCTTGAGAAGAAGTCCCAGGTCTCAGAAAAGCCCCCACATAGTGCCTTCTTTGCCTTCTGACATCTGCGGGTACTGAACCATCTGAGGCACTTTCCCATATATAACTCTCTGTTTAAAATAAATAAACAAAACAAAACCAGCAACAAAACGTGGCGCCTCTGGGCATGTCAATCCCTATGCTAGGCCTTGTCACCTCAAAGCTATGTAATTCAGGATTACATATGAGGCAGGTGACCCCAAGTCTCAAGGACAGGCCAGTGGGGAAGAAAAACACCTGCAGAGGAAATCTCAACCCACCAGTGAGTGCAATATGCAAATATAGGGCTCTTTTTGCAGAGGCACGTGCATCTGCAGGGGAAGCTACTTTTATTGAATATTTACTAGTGTCAAACACTGTATATTCTAAACTTTCTACTTTCCTGTAAGACAAATGAAATTGGGAAAGAAATACCCCCAGTAAAGCAATTAAGGGCTCAGAGGTGTAATTTTTCTAAACGTCGCCAGGAGCAAATGATGAGCTCTAACCTGGCCCTGTGGCTACCGAAGCTGGAAGAGATTCCCCTTCATCTTGCTGCTCCACTGACCTTGCCCTGGGTGAAACCTGTATCAAAGTGCAGACACAGAAAGGGGCTCGTGGCGTGAGCTCCAGCGCCCCCTAGGTGGCCAGGACAATTTAGCCTTAGACGCTACTCCAAGCACTGCTTCCTTAACTCTCCCAGGACTGTCTTGACGCGGTGACCCCCACGCCCCATGACCTCGCTGTCCTCACTCCTCTCATTTGCGGAAGCCACAGTAAAGAGGGTGGCACAGAGATGCCCGCAGTTGGGCACGCTCTGGTTTCCCAGAGGGCCAGGAGGTTTCCAATTACGCCAGGACCCGCAGATTTGGACCAAACTGTCCGGTCCTGCTCCAGCTCCCGCGGGAGGGGCGCCCCACTTACCAGAAATGGAACTTGTAGGCCCCGGGCGGCCCTTGAAGTGATCGTGTAGTTAAAACACAGGTTTACATCGTCCAAGAGCACTTTGAAAACATGCGTTGTATGTAAGTGCCTTTGCCTCATCTTCTCCTTTGCCCTCTGAGCTGGGTCCTGTGGTCCTGTGGGTGGCAGTGTGTGTGTGTGTGTGCGTGTGTGTGTGTGTGTGTGTACGCTCACAAACGCACAAATTCCTAGGGACAAATGGAATGAAATTCTAGCAGGTGCCACATTCACCGCTTACATTCCCCCCCCCCATCTCCAAACCCTGGGGGAGAGAAAGTTGGGGCTTGGTGAAGAAGAAAGTTGAATCTGGAGAGGTGGGGTGTATTCCTGGGGGTTGAAGGAAGGGGCGACCCGTGGGAGAACGAGTGGGAGCCTTTGGACACCCCTGGCCAGAGGGGCATCCTCGGTGTGCGGTGTGTGAGCTGCGTGTTCTTGTGCGTATGTGTGAAGTGTGGAGTGCGCGCTCACACCAATATGAATAATCAACACATCGCTCACACCTCCAAGGAGCTGCGGGGAACTGGGAGGTCCCGCGGGCTTTACTCCGAGGCTGCTAGGGGGCCGGGCCACCAGGCGATGGGAGACATTTCAAAGGAGCTCTTCAGCTTGCCTTTTCCCTGACCTAAGGTGCGAAATTGGATGAGAGAGAAATCACGTTTAACTTTTTTCCTTTGCGCCACTGTGCGTGTTAAACGTGGGAAGGCCGGCATGGGGAGTGTGTTCTCTGCGATGCTCCTTGTTGTATGGGATCCTCTTTTTCCTTCTTTGTAAAATGGGGCAAATAATTCCCACTTGAACTGTTGCTGTCAAGTTTAAGAATGGGGGAGTTTGTAACAGTGCCTGGCATCCTGGAAGTACCGGGGCAATGTTCTATTCGTTCTTGGTATTTTTACTCCTTCGTATTTTTTTTTTTTTAATCTTTCTGTAGACCTGTTAGATCGAGTGTCTTATTTACTGTGTAGGTCAAATTGTCCTTCAGTCCCTCCGTTTTTATGACTTGGGTGACAGATGACCCAGGCTTGGTGCTCAAGGCTCATGGACATGAAAGGGCTACAATCTGCCGGTTTTCCTGCAACGTGACTCTAATCAGGGACAATGGGTGCAAACAGACAGGCGCACCCCCACCTAACCTGAGAAATCAGACCCTCGGATTCACCAGGAGGCCGCACCAGCCACTCCCTTCTCTGTTGACCACCTGTCCCCCGACAACACACTCTCCTCAGGTCGGCACCCCGCGCTCCTGCCCACCACCAGTGGCTGCGCTTAAACGTGGGTTCTGCCTGGAGAATTTCTTGACCTTTCGGTTGCTCCAACTTCTTGCTCCCTGGACTCTCAGAATAAAAGAAGAGGGAGAGGGGCCTTTCGGACGGTAACTACTGACAGAGAGGAGAAGAGAGGAAGAAGAAAAAGAGAGGAAAGGGAGTCCCCAGTGTTAGAAGAAAGCCCGCTTTAGTTAACTGAGTGCATTTTGCGCAGGGACCCAGTGGTCTGGTTGTAATATCAGCGTCTAGAAAAGGCGCTTCTACGCCTCATTATTTTTCTGTCGTTGTTCCCACTGGAATCGCATTCACTATTTTAAAAACAAAATAAGGAGCGAATCCTTTTGAGGGGCTGATCTAAAAGGAAGTGGTTCGGTATCAATAGAGATTATGATATTATGTGTCGTGTTTTCATAAAGAAAGAACAATCTGCCCTCGTTATCTCCTCCTTGACAGAAGCACACGACGTTAGCCTCCACAAGAAAGGACATCCGAGTTGAAATTCGGAATAAGAAGTAATAAAGATGACTGTTGGGGGGAAATAATTTTGTGAAAAATTGTGAATTAGATATTCGATTGATCTCAGAGTTGGAGAACAAGACCACTTGTTTCCACCTGGATAAAGAAAAGGCAAAGAGTTTAGTAAAAGGGGAGAAAAAAAATCACGTGCAAAGAGGTTAAGGGACTGACATTTATTTCGTTTACAAAATTCAGATTTGTTTTCCCTGCGGATCAAATTCCCCGGATACTACCTCGGCCGTGTGCTTCCTGCCGCGTGGACTCAGCGGCCGCGGGTGGGAGTGCGCGGTGGGCGCGCGGTGGAGCTGGTGGTCGGAAGGCGAGGGGACAGGACCCGTAAGTCCACCTCACCACCTCGCCCTTCGAGCACCCCTTCGGGAGAGTCATTTATAAAGAAACATATCCGAAGTTCTGACCGCAGGGACAGCAGTGGCGTCCTTTTCTCCAGTGGACAACTCAAGCAGACCAGCCAGGAGAAAATGCGCCTTAAAAATCAATTAGGGGGCTGCGGACTGATGGAATATGGCTCACTGCGGTGCAGACGTGAAACCTGGGGAACAAACAGGGGCGTTTGTTTTTTGGGGAAAAAGTGAACGAAGGAGGGGACGGAGCAAAAGACAGAGTGCCCCCATGATGAGCGCAGTTTTGTGTAAACAGATTCTTGTGAAGGATTGGATGAGTTTTTCTCTTGGGCTCTTCTCGACCCGGGACGCAGCTCGCAGGTGGGAATCGGGGAGACGCGCGGGGCTTGGCGGGGCCGCAGCTGCGCTGACTCGGTGCCCGCGCCGGTCGCGGCGGGTGCGTGTCTTACGGTCACAGGAGGCTTGTTCTGGGGTAGCTGGAGGCGATGGAGATGGCGCCACCCTCCAGGCACCGCCGCTCAGCTCACTCAGTCCCTAACTAACGCTTCCTCGGCGCGGGTGGCCTACTCTGCGACCACTTCCTCCCTAAAACCGACCAAAAGAATGAATTCGACCCAACGCCGTGCCACAGCCTCCCTGGGCCCTCCCCAGGCCGAAGCTCCGCCTCGAAGACGCGAACTCACACCCCCACACCACCGACACCCACACTCTTCCTCGAGTCGTCGTCTCACCGAGGGGGACCTTGGGCAGGCTCGGCTAGCTGCCCGAGCCTCCCCCTGTGTGCCCCGAGCGGCCCCCAGGAGTCATGTGCCTCTTCCTGGGTTCAAGTTCTGGGGGCGCCGCTCCCCAGACCACCTCCTGGCGGGGCCCTGCGGCTCTGCAGTTGCTTCTCCAGGACTCGCTGGCGTGGGGGTGGGGACGTGCTTGGCTAGCTGGTTTAGAGACCTTGGTGGGGAGCCTGGAAAAAAGACTGATTCATTGGCTCCCTGAGGGGCATCATTTGGGTGGCAGCTGTTGCAGGCGAGAAGCGCTGGCGTCCCCGACCCAGGCTCTGCCCTTTAACCTCAGTCAACACGCGGCCGGAGGCGCAGACCAGCCGGGCCATGCCTGGGTCCATTACTGCCCCCACTTACCCTCGGGCTGCGCTGGGCACAGTTCCCCCGCAGTGTCAGAGGTCCTTTAGAATTTAAAAAAAAAAAAAAAAAGTCAACAGACTCATTGACACCTCCTGAGGTGCTCCCTCGACAAGGAACCCGAGGAGGCCTTGGCTCCTCTGGGGACTGACCCTAGACGGGAATGGTAGGATAGGGTCCGGGGAGTTGCTTGAGGTTTGCAGAGCTTTGTATAAGAGAAGGCCAAGAGCAGAAGACTCTACGTGGTTAGTTTTTGTAGGAGCCGAAATTATTCGTGAAAGTTACACGTAATAGAGTTGAAACAGGGAAATTTAAGTTTCACCTCAACAAATTTCTTTTGACAACTCAGATCTTCCTTGGCTTCTACAACTGCCTCCTTCCCTTTTCTGAAGTCCAAAAGCAATGCTTTGCTCACCCTTTATGCCCATTAGGGAGGACCAAGTCAGAGCCCAGGCTGTGTACCACAGATAACAAAATCCAGAGGCAGAGTTCACGTTCTTCTACCCTAAATCAGCGATCCGAGCCCCTCGAAGCCCATTCTCAACTAGTTTTCAAGTGAAGTCTTGCTTCCTTGAGCTTCCTGAGCGCTCTGTGGCCGGCGCAAGTCTGGGAAAGTCTTGCACCCGGGGTGGCTTGGAGGCGCATACGGTGCCCTTTCTCAAGAGATCATTTCAGAACATTTTCTGAAAGTGAGAGAGCTTCCTGGCTGCCCTGGCAAACAGTTGCACGGCTCTGTGTCCTCTAGCGGCAAACTCTTGCAGTTCATTCGGGAGCGCTCACCTACACCGGGGAATCTCATCCGGAGTCAGCTCCTCCTCAAATGCGAGCCTTAAATCCGGGGAAAGTCTTCCAAACGTAATCCAGGCTTTCGCTAAGGCCCTCTCTCCGTTAGGAGGCGGGGAGACTCGAGCGAGCATGGTCGCCTCTAACTACCGAACAGCTGATTGTGTCCTCCATGGCAGATGGTCTTTGAGCACAGATTTGCATTCATTGTCTTCAAATCTGTTTTCGCGCTGGTGTTCTAGATTTCAGCAGCAGATCTATGCACAGATCAGAATACAAAAGGAGAAGCAAGAAAATAACACCCAGCCAGGAGGATTTTTTTTTTTTTTTAATAGGCACCGGGAGCTGCCGGGTGTAGTTAAAAAGTCGTCTAGGGTTTCAGCTGTTTGGCGGAGCTGCCGCCGCCTCCAGGCCACCAGCCCCAGGCAGGCAAGCACCGCGGTGACCGCGCGCCACCGGCAAAGTTTACGCCTCTCCTCCACTGGCTCCCCTCAACCTCCTCTACCTGCTCCCTAGGGCTCCTGGAACCTGGGGGGCCCTCGAGAAAACACCCAGACTGCGCTCGCCCTCGACCGGTCGGGATCTGTCAGCGAGCTCTCGTCTGCACGGGTACCACTCCAGCTCGAGTCAGCCTGCCTGCCCAGGGATATTTTCCTTAGCTCTTTGACTGGTTTCCCCGGCACTCTCTATTTATTTGAACAGCACTTGAGCCTCATTCCTTTTCCCCTACTCACACCCTCTCTGCTTTCATTCATATGTCCTCTCTCTCAACAACTTGCAAACTGCGTAGGAGATCTGAGTGTCATTGTGTAATTCTAATTCTGAAAACCTTGATAAAGTCAGTCGGGTAACTGAGTGGCTCTAGAGAACATTCGCACTCAATTTAAGCACATGTGGGCACACTACGTTTCATTTACTAACAAGTCTATATGCACACGCAGATTACGTCTCTGAAATGAAGGCGCCTCCAGGCAGGGTACAGAAACCTGCATCTAGAAGCAAAACCGACCGAGGCTCCGCGTTCCTGCCACCAGGCAGCCCACTCCTCCCCGGGACCCGGCGTCAGTGCAGTGTTTGGACTCTCACATGCCGCGTACGCACACTGAGTCCGGGAAAACACACGCCGCGCGCAGTTTTTGGTACCCTTTCACCTCCAGGACTCCCAAGAACGCCGAGCGTGGCGCGCGCCGCCGGAGGACGTCGGCCTGGCTTGCCCGGCACTGGCCAATCCCGAGCGTGCATGCAAATGAGCCGCTTTATCGGGCCCTGGCTCCGCCTCCCGCGGCCTGGGCCGTAGTAACCCATTCATGGGGCTCGCGCGCGGCTGCAACTCGGCTCCGTGGAGCTCTCAGCCACCGCCTCCTTTCGACTTTGGGTCTTCCCCTTCCTATTACAACTGATCCTGTTGGGGATTTTTTTTTTCTAAACTGGAACGGAGGGGAGGAATTGGAAGGGGGGGACAAGGAGGAAGGGGAGAGATTAGGCAGCCATCAATCTTCTGTTCCTCCCAGAACAGGTGATGCGTCTAAATTGTGATCAGTTTCTGGATGCAACGCTACGACTGGAAGGATGCGAGCAACCTAGGGCAGAGGGTTTGAGGTGGCAGATCTGAACTTGCGGATAAAACACCTATTTTGACTGCGTCAGTCTGCCACCTTGCACGTGAAGCAAAGGACCCATTATCTTCCCCCCCCCCCTTTTTTTCTTTGCTTCTTTCTTTTTTTTTTTTCCAAGAGAAACAAACTTCACGACTTGGTCTTTTTCTCGGATTGCATTGGAAGGAAGCGGTTTGGTGGCAGCTCTGGGACCAGTCAGGACTGTTTTGTTATACTTACATATTTTTTTTAAAGACAGTAAAGGGCAAGACTTTTTAAATGTTTGGGATTCAAGACAGTTTAGGAAGAGGACCAACCCTGAAAGAGAAATCACTGGGCGCCGAGATGGATTCGGTCAGGTCCTGGGTCCGGAACGTCGGCGTGGTGGATGCGAATGTCGCGGCGCAGAGGTAATGAAAGGGCCTCGCACTTATGCTCCCTAAGTCTCTCCCTATGCTCCCTAAGTCTCTTCCTCCTCTTCGCTCTGTCTATCTCTGTGTCCTCCTTATCCTTCATCTTTTTCTCTCACTGTTCCCATCTGTCGCTCTGGCCCTGCGCGTTTGGGGCCAGCCCTCCCTCCGGCAAGCAGGTCTCTGCCGTCAGGGGAACACTTGCCTGGCAGCCAGCACTCGAGTTTCTGACTTGCTTGGGTCGTTGGTGTTGCCATTGCACTTCTTCCTCACACACTCAAAAAGAACGAACAGCACCCAGAGCCTCGTTCTCAGAGTGGAGAGGGAGTGGAGTGGGGCCGGGCGACCGGCTGAGCGCGCAGGAGGACGCGAGCTGGGAGCGGCGGCGGGAGACAGCCTGGGTCTCCCCGCGCCGCTGCGGCTTCTCCTCCAGCATCTTGCAGGGCCGCTCCTGAAGCTGGGAGCCCCGCGGCCAGATGGTGGCGGCGGCGGCGGCGAGCAGAAGGCAGAGGCCGGAGCGGCTTGCAGGAGCTGGGGATAGGAGCCAGCAGGCTAGAGATGGGAGCCACAGATCAAGGATCCAACAGTGGGCTAAACGCACGCACAGGGTGAAGAGGGGAGAGAGAGAGAGAGAAGGATTGAAAAGAACAGATGAAGAAGTAACAGTAGAAAGAATGTTAGAAGTGAAGCAAAGAGAAGAGGCCAGTCCCCAGAAAGTCCTAGGAACCACTGTCCTTTAGTTTCTCCAGCTCTGTGAAATGGGCTTCTTTCTAGAGCGTCCTGGTCCTGCTAGCTCTGTGCACCTTCCCTCCCTCCAGGGATCTCTCACAGACATTATGCCCCTCACCTCCACCATCACACTGAACTGGGGTGAGTGGCCTCCTCGTGCTTCTCCGTGAGGGAGGCAGCCAATCCACTTCCCCCCAGACCACGAGCTGAGCGCTGAGCTGAGAGCTAAGCTTCATCTCCTGACATAACGCCTCCTCTACCACCCTTCTGACAGTACATCACCCGGAGAACTGACCCTCTTCCCAGACAGGCCATATTGCCAGGTGCCCTGGGAAGAGTGAGGCAGTTGCCAGTCTTGGAGGAGAGGAACCAAGTCGAATTGCTCAGGGGACTGGAGCCCGGGCGAGTGACCGCCTCCCTTGGGCAGATCGCCGTCTGTGGCTCTGGCTCTCAGCCTTGGCTCTGGGGGACTCAGTGGGCTGAAGGCACCCCCTTAGCTCCGCAGGGTGGCCCCAAGGCGCATTTCCTAACAGGGCTCCTTAAAGACACCTCTCTTCTTTTCCCCCCGATTAATAGTTTGCGAAATTGAAACAGGCAGCCAGGGTGGGGATATTGTAGCCTAAAAGTTATGCCCAACAACGAGTGCAAGTGCTGGGACTCGAGGTCACGGAGCCCGAAGCCCACAGCGCCTCGGGGCAACACCGCCATCTGCGTACTCGGGGCCCCAGCAGCGAGTTCTACCGGGCTTGAGGGTGTCAGTTTGTCCCCAGCCACTGCGGATCGAGGAGGGAAAGTGGCCTTAAGGGCGCTTCCCGGGTCCCCCAACTTTGATTTACCCTAGGTAGAGGGGAAATGCCACTCGAGCGCATCCCCTTGGCCTTAGGCGAGGACACGATCTCTAATCACATTTTGGCTTCTCCAAGCCCATCAATTGGGGGGGGGGTTGTCCCTGGATAACACCTCGGTTGTACAGTAGCCCGCTGCGATGTACTTGGTCCGGCACACAGTCCTTCCACGGTCCGAGGGCGCTGCTACTTTTCGGCAAAGCGAGGGAAGGGGGCGCGATGAGATCTCCCCTCTTCCGACGAGGGATCTCTCAGTTCCATCTAAGCTTCCCGCGACGAAAGGGGTTTCCTACCCACCGACTTTCCGAGTGAACTTGTGGGGGGCTCTTCTTGGGTAGTGATGCCTACCTTGAAGCAAAAGGGTTACTTACCTCAGAAGCGCTTGTGTCCCTAAATGTGTGTATTATGCCTGCCTCTTTACTGAGAACGCCAGCAAGAACTGGGGGACGAAACAGACCCCAGAACTACTCTATCCCCAAACCCGGGTCACGGATCCCCACTAGCCGCCCAACACTAGGACGCCTGGGGCCTGCACAACTCGGGAATGGCACCCAGTAGCCTGAGGCGCGCCCCGATTCCCAGGGTCCCTGTGCCTCCTCTCCGGAGTAGCCACTCTTAATCCGAGTGAAGAGAAGGCCAAGTGGCGGGGACCCTGGGCGCGAACTCGCTCTCCCGCTCGCGAGGCTCTGTGTGCACGATGCTAACGCCGTGTCCTTCTCTTTTCCCTTCTGCCCCGTGTCTGGCCCGCGTCTTCCTGCGCAGCGGGGTCGCTCTGTCCCGGGCTCACTTTGAGAAGCAGCCACCCTCCAACTTGAGGAAGTCCAACTTCTTCCACTTCGTGCTGGCGCTCTACGACAGGCAGGGCCAGCCCGTGGAGATCGAGCGCACGGCCTTCGTGGACTTTGTGGAGAACGACAAAGTAAGAGAGGTCCCCCCTGCCCGCCGCTCTCTCACTGTCCCATCTGTCATTCAGGACGCTTTTCCGCTCCCAGCATCAGGGGTGACACATCTAGGCTTCTCTCCTCGGACTCTAAATCACTCGCCTTCCCTGCGCCTCCTCCTGTCCCCACGCCCCGCACTTCGCGCTGTAGGAAGCGCTCCCCTCTCTGCTGCGGGAGCCTCCTGGCTTATAGCAGCGCCCACCGCAGAGCAACGCCCAAGCAGAGTTTCAAAAAGTGTAGCCAAGGTCACCCAGCCTTTCTCTAGGTTATTTTGTTGTTATTTTGCACCTGTCAGAGGGAGGTGGCTTCAACCCGCTTTCCCCCACTTAATCCTCTCCGTCCCTCTCTCCTCCAAAGGCGGCCCCTGCTTCGAGCCCCCCAGATCCTGTTTTTCAGACTGGGTTTGATTTCAGACGAAGGCCCATTCATCTCAGACTATTTGTGACCAAGGAAAATGCCTTTGTCCTCTCTGGGCACCAATCACCTTGACCTTTAAAGGCGGGGCGCTTTCTTTAAGGCTGCGACTCAGTCTGGAGCTGGTGGTCTGGCCAGCTCAGGTCTTGGTAGATGAAGCCCCCAGTGTCACTCTTCCAGATGACAAGCCCCTCCACGTGTATGCCCCGCAGTACCCTCAGTTTCGGAAGGACCGGCTAGGGACGGATGGTTTGAATGGGGGCCTATTTAAAGACAGCAAACAGGTGGCGTCCTCGGGACTCAGGCTCAAACTTGGAAGGGCATTTTTGAGAGAGAAGAGCATGTGGCTGGGGTCAAGTGACCAAGAACCTTAGCAAGTTTCGGGGGCCAGTGTGGGCAGAAGCCCTTGTTCTTAGACCCTGGGGCCGGTCGGGGAGTGGTTCAAAGCCATCTTTTGAGCTGCAACAAGGTGACAGAAGGCGGTGTGGGAGCGCGCTCAGCTGAAAGTTGCATGTCTTTCCAGGAACAAGGGAACGAGAAGACCAATAACGGCACCCACTACAAGTTACAGCTTCTCTACAGCAACGGTGAGCTAGCGGCCGGCGCGCACCTGACAGCGGGCGCCGGAGCCTGCTGGGGTACAGGATCAAGGGAGATGGCTGACCTGGACGTCCTCCCTTGTGGGAGGCCTGTAGGGCGGGCCCGGGGAGTGCAGGGCTCTAAGAGGGATGAGCGGGGCAGGGCCGGGAGCTCCGGGTGGCGGTGGTCCCTTGCCCTATGATAACTCAGTCTTGGTAACAGCAAATTGGGAGAAATTTCTTGGGCCTCAACCCTCAACGCCAGAGTCAGATTTGGGGGTGCCTACGAGGTGCTCAGACGCCCTCCTCCCTCCCTTGCAGGCGTGCGCACGGAGCAGGACCTGTACGTCCGGCTCATCGACTCGGTCACCAAGCAGGTGAGCTCGCCTTGCTTTCCACCAGGTGCTCTCCCGGCTGTCGCGTCCCCCCCTAGTCAGCCTGCAGGATGTTCTGGGTCAGGCTTCCCCTACGCTTCCTCAGCACTGTGCCCCCTGGAAAAATGTTACGTTCAGTTCCCATCCGATTGGGGAGATGCTGGGGCAGCGGAAGGTGAGCGAAGAGGTGAGGAAAAGTCAGCAGGTACCGGGAATCCAGCCTTCCACCCCGGACTCCCCAACATTCCCCTTTGCTAAGAAAGAATTCCTCAGATAGGAGGAACTTTTCTACATTATTACTCCTCTTTAAATTAACCGGGTATCCACCCGCCCGGGTTCTGTGCTGCGCCAGGAATTCCTAAGAAGAGTTCGCTCTCAAGTTCTCTTTCTTTATCCCCCCACTTCTCTCCACCTCTCCCCTCCTGATGGCCGCCCTGCAGCCCATAGCTTACGAAGGTCAGAATAAGAATCCAGAGATGTGCCGAGTTCTCTTGACGCACGAAGTGATGTGCAGGTAAGAGCTGCCTTTTTTTGGTGGGGGGGGCTTTACTGTCGCCCACAAGTGAGGCGCGGCCGGCTGGAGGGGCGTCCCCGGGTCCCTGAGGAGAGCTGCTCTCTCGCACCAGCAAGACTCCCGACTGGAGCGCGGCGCCCAGTTCACGGGGACCCACTGCCATCTAAAGCGCGGTTCTTGGGGCGCCCTTGACTCAGGTTTTCAACTCCACGACTTCCTGGGGCGCCCGCTGTCTCCACTGTCCTTGACTGCGGGCAGCGCTCGCTGCCGGCGGGTTTGGGGTCAGGACTTTTCCGGAACCCACCTGGGCACACACTGGCCTGCCCGAGGAGGTCGATTTATGGGTGGCGACACTTGTGGAGTTACCGATTCACTAGGAGTTAAAGTACTGAAACGACTCGCAGTGTGGACAGGGGGCCCCCATAGGGTCGAGTCCCTCCTGTCGAGGGCGTTTCCCACCACTGAGGCACCTGGCAGTGCTGTGAGACTCTTTCTTTGTAGAGGGGAGTCGCTTCTTTGGATTTTACGCTCCAAGGAAGTTTCTTAGGTCAGGCAGAACTGCCAGGTGACGGGATGGGAGGGTCCCCAGCTGTGGGTGGGGAAGCAGGGAAATGTGCGCTTCAGAGCAACCGCTGGGTCCTAGTGGACAAGTTGTGGGACCTTTTAAGAGATAAAGTCTATCTCAATTTCAATGCCCCAGGTTACTCCTTTCTTGACTTGAAGAGGGGGAAAAATAGGAGGAATTCTCCCACAGGCCTACTCATTCTTTCAACACGTATTTATTTACTGCTAGGTTCCATGCCAGGTATTGGGCTGAGTGCTGAGAATCTCATAGTGAATGAGAAAAGGTGTCAAAAAAAGAAGCTACCTAGACTGAGGTGATTTCACCAGAAAATGTAAATGTCTGTTCCACACACTTCCCCCCCCCCCCCCCCTTCTTCCTCTGATATCTCTTCTTGAAGGGAAAAACCTCAATTCTTTCTTCACCATTCAGGGAATGTCTTCCAACTGCAGACTTGCTAGTATAAGGTAATTACAGGCAGTCTGATTTAATACAGACTGTTTTATGGGCTGCTCCTGGGCAGCCCTGTCCCCACTTCCCAACCTAGTCCAAAAGAAACCATAACAGACATGTTTGTTTTGGTTTTGACCAAATATTAGAAAAACAAACTTGCCAAATTAAAAGTTCAGCTTTGCCAGTGGCCTCAGATGAGGGCAACTGAGGATGGCTTGCCTGGGTAGTTGGACAAGGCATTGGGCAATAGAATTATCCCAGCAACCCTGAGTGGTACTCTTGGTTAGATTAGTTCAGAAAGAAAATAACAATTTCAAGTTGTCCTCTGTAATTCCTAGATTAAATAGACAGAATGTTTTTATTTGCTTGGCTAATCAAAGAGCACTTCCCCCCCCCCCAAATTCATTTAAATGTCTTTATTTGGTAAGATTACCTTCTTAAAAGAAAAGAATACAGAAGAAAACACAAGACAAAACAAGACGCAAAAATGAAAAACAAAACAAAACAAAACCAGTCTCATTGTTTGACGAATTGTACCTATCACATTAAGTAATATCTGCACGCTCCATCCAGCTGTATTTAAAGATGACATTTTTATTTTTAAGCCCAATCAAATCCTCCTCATTTTATGCTGTTTAAGTAGCAGCATCAATTTTTAAACCCTCTAGTTTAGTCTGCATTAGTAACACAATATAAAAATTTAATGTACTGTAACTTCCTCGCATTTGAGGCCTGGGAAAGTGCTCTGTTATTTCCTTCTTAAACTAGAATTGAGAACAAATATTAATTATGGGTAAATAAATGAGCCATTGGATGATCACTGTATCTGGAGAAAGAGAAAGTATGTGTGTGGGGTAGGGGGTGACATATAGGGGCAGCAAATATTGGAGACAACTAAATGGGAAGTTCTCATTCCATCTGTCACTCAGAGCTGGTTGATTCTTGGGGTGGGGGGGAGAAGGTTCCTTCGCCCACATTTTCCTGAGCCAGTTTGAGCTATCAGTGATTGAGGGATGAATCAAACGTCCACTTCCGCAGCAGTCATTGTACCTCCTGGGTCTCATTTGCATGGGGGATCTGGCAGGCATACCTGGATACTTCCCCCAATGGTTTTGTGTTCTGTCTTCTTTAGTAAAAGGATCATGAGGTGGTGTTTAGCTTCAAGGGGGAACAAAGCAAAGGGATAAAAGAAATCTCTTTAGGAATAACTTTTTTCTGCCTTTCCCAATTGTCTGTGCTCCTCTCTTCCCTGCTTCGGTTCACTTTGCCAATTATTAGCAAGGAGAAATCTAGTTGTTATGTCGCTGCCAGCCACCTCTGCGCCCTCAATGCTCAGAGGGTTAAAAGATATTATAATTTGAACAGAAGTCGTCTCAAGGCCTACAGCTGGCTAATAACAGAGTTGTATTGAGCGCGAGCAAACCCCACAGCTGTGACTTTTCGCCACAAGGCGCAGGCTAGACAGGGCCCTAATCAGATGGGCCAGCCGGGCAGTGGGGCCAGTGTCTTTATCGGCCAGATGGTGTGAATTTAGACACTTTTGTTATGCAATCGCAGGGAGGAGTTGGAGAGAAGAAAACAAAACAAAAGCCACCATGCTGTGCGCTTATTTGAGTTTGAAATTAGAGACAGATTTTTGAAAGTTGAGGGTTGAATTTTAAAAACCATTTTGGAGGGGAAAGGGACACGTTTGGTTGTCTTGAACAAGAGTGCTTGTCTTGAACAGGAGTTTGGCTAAGAGTGTCCATGGCTCAAGATTCCCTCCCTTATGCCCCTTTCCTCCACCCATCATTTCTCATCCCTCTGCTCCTCCTTTTCAGAAAAATGCTGGTAAAATTCAGAATTGTAATAAAATGTCTCTTACCCAACACTCTGGCCTCAAAACACACCCACCCACACACACAGTGCTCTCTCTCCCTTTTTAAGGATTTCTTGTGATGGTTAGGAGATTACAATGGGCCTGTACACAAATTCAGGTAAAAGCTTCTCCAGTAAGTCCTAGGAACTCTTGGTTTCTTTCGAAATAAAATCAAACCAAACAAAGAATCAGAGGAACAACTTCCACATTCATTCATTAGGAAAAAAGAGCATTCTGAGCCTTTTGGCCATAGTTAAGAACTCAGTTTCAACCTATCGCCCAATTGCCTTTTCTTATAAAGTTTTTTTCTTATTTTCAGTTTTTTGAACACTTGTCAGAAATTTCAAACCTAGGGAGAAACTTTATTGGTAGCAAAGAACCCTTAAGCCCTTTCATTAAGAAGTGAATGGGAACTTGGGTTATATCTCCACAGGAAAGGGTGGGGGGAGAGTAGATTTCATGATGTAGTTTAGAGACCCCATTTCCTAGCTTTCCACAAACTCTCACCTAGCTTTCCACAAACTCTCACCTCTTCACATACAGAGTAGTCCTTCTGCAGTGTGGGCCTATGAACACATTCAGCTCACATTTTCTTTTGCTGGAAGTAATATTTGTAGAAGACTGAATGCCATTTAAGAAATTAAAGAGCAAATATACATTGATAAGCTCTCCCCCCCCACTTTAAATAGAAAGGAAAAAGAATTGGTTCTGCTAACTTAGAGACCAAGAGAAATTTTAAGAAGCACCTAAGTAGGGGCTCACACAGTTTTGCTCTATTGTTTTAATAACTTTTCTGCTCTCAGCCAATATTTAAATGAATGCTTTTTAATGCTGTTCTGTGTTGAATGTTAAAATTGGAGATTACACTTAAACATGGTACTGTTGGAAAACGGAAAGCTAAAGTTTAGAAATGGGTTCTAAAGTTTCTTTGCAGTTTTTCTTTGAGTATCGTTTTCTTTCTGAGTTGATCCCTCACATTGCATTGCACTGGCTCCAGGCTTACATTTTTATCTGTTTTTCTTCTCCTCCAGAGGAAATCCCCATGGAAAGCAGCTGAATTCAGCTGAGCAATTTTACAAACTTGCTCGGCTTCTTCAGAATCATTCCTACCCAAACTAAACGGATTGGTATATTTGACAGTATGTGTGTGCCTGTCAGGAAATTGTGCCATGCATATTTGGGGTTAGGTTGACATGCTGGTGATGTCTAGTCTTTAGGTATATAGCATATATGGATGTGTTTTGTGTGTTGTTGGTTTTTTTTTAAGTGTTATTAATAATAGCATGTTGCCTGAGCTGCAGAGGTATGACGTTGACATAAGCAATACTCCAGAAATAGAAGAGGTAGAGGATGGAAGTGATGGGGGTGAGTAGCGGGGAAGAAGGGGGGGCAGAGAGCAACTGGCCAGCGTTTTTATTGGTATTAATCTTGGGAGGAATAGCAATTTTTGAAAGTTAAGACCTAATATAATTTCAAAGGCAAAATATTATTTCAGAAAGTCCCAGTAGTTAACTTTGTATTTAAGAAAACTAAGGCAATGGTTTTCCCTTCTTTTTAATTTGATTATGTTTCTTAAAAACTCATCATATCCATTTGGTGAACATTTTTCACGTCTCTCAAGTATGTTTTACTTCTTGAGAATGATAGAGTTATTCACTGCATAATCTACACATCACTGTATGTGAGAAGCAGGATTTCAAATGTTGAAAACATTTCTTTAATAAAACAGGAACAATTCTGTGGAGGATCAAAGAGGTCCAGTAGACTGTGGAGAGACACTAGGCAAATCCATAACTGTATCTTGTGCCTCTTCGATTCCATCTACCCCTTACCCAGCCATCACCTTTATGCTGAGAATTTTAGCCCCATGGCCTTTTTAAAGCTAATGGGATTCTAGAGATGATCTTGTCCAACACTTTCTATTTTTTATTTTTTGTAATATAAGGCAGGCAAAACCCAGAAGGTGAGAGATTTGACTAAATAAAGCAGCTGGTTAGTGACAGAGTCAAGTTAGATTTCAAAGCTCTAATTCCCAGGTCAGCAATATTTCTATTGTACCATGTTGATCTTTAGCTAGAAAGAAATTATGATAGAGCAATACTCTTTCCATGATAATTTAAAGCCATGTGATAATATTAATGATAATATAAGAGCAATACACTTTCCATGATAAATATAGTTTGGTTACTAGTAACATTTATTAGACATATTCTCCACTTGGGATGGAAAATGATATTTTTCTTAGAAACCATTTCAAGGTTACATCCTGAATCATCCACAGTTGAGAGTGCTTTTGAAATGAATTGGGATGGATTCAGAAGTTTGGGGCCAGTAAACAGGCATGATGAGGAGGTGACTTCCTCTCTTCCTGATCACCACCTTCCTTTGCCCTTTGTGCATTTGTCTAGGTGTCCACGCAGGTATCGTTGAGTTGGCATGTTTTATTCTGTGCTCAGGTCCTTCTGAGTGTTTCCTTTCAACTGTAATTGCTCTAAGGGTTCTTGTTGTGTTCGTGTAATCCCATTCACAAATAGTTAATGAATTTCTACCAAGTATCCAACACAGTGCTAAGTGGAATTTTGGGTAAGTAGAGTTTTTAAGGGGTTCACAGTTCCTGAGGCTCGTTTTTGTTTCAGACTTTGTGAAAAAAAATTATTAATGAAATCATCCTGCAACCTCTGACCTCATTTTCTTACAATTTTAAAATACATCTCATAGTCCTGGCCTTCTTCCTCCTCTACCTTTTGAAAATGATGTGAATGAATGTTTGTAAAGTACACTCGGTTCTCTGGAGAAAGATGATATAAATAAGATTTATTGTAACCCAGGCTTGTGGTCTATTTAATTCATTTTCCTTCTTTCTCTTGCTTCTCATATTTATTGAGACACAAAAGACGAAGTACACAATCATAAAGATCATTGAACATTAAGCTGAAAGTGACTTTTTAATCTTAAAATTCAGCTGTCAAAGGTTCAGATTACAAATATGGTTCTTGGGAAAGTTGTGATTTGCTAAGAATCAGCAAGTTTGTAAGCTATGGGGAATTTGAATGGATTTATTTTGGCTTTTAGAGTGTTTTCTTAAAAAATCAATTAAAAATTAATTTAACATGGTCGAAAATTCTGCTATCAAGTAGTTAAAATTGGAAAGCTACGTAAGATACACTCATTTTTGTGAATGTGCTTACATTGAACGCTCTTACATTGTGTTTTCTTGAAGCGGTAAATTTATTTTGCTCTTTTTGTTCCTTCCAATCTGCAGCCGATGTTGCGAAAAGAAAAGCTGTGGGAACCGAAATGAGACTCCTTCAGACCCTGTCATCATCGACAGGTAGGGCAAGCATGGGATTTTTCTCGTGCTGGTTTTCTCTTATCTTGAATTTCAATCTTGAATACTAATCAATTGGTGTTTTGCTGCAAAATTGGTTTCATGATCTCTTAAGGCATCAAGCTTGTCCAGCCACATTCTGCTTGGCCTGTCTTGGAACCCACCAGAAACCTGTCTTTTGTCCATGTGCCTTGAAATCTGTAACGGGATTCTTTTCCAGGTGCACTAACGCCAGCTCAGTGAGGAATCTGTGGATAGTGAAAGGTGGTCAGGGGTGCACCGCGTTCTGACCAGACAGGCCATGGGCCAATCAGTCCCTTAGAAGGGGACCCCTTCACTATTCTCAGTGATTGTTGCTGGGCTTGAAGAGTGTCAGTTTCGATTATGGTTTAGGACATTATGGCAAATTCTGTTGCACTGAGTGAGATTGCTTTCAACCAGGCAGGATTGCATTCTGGTTCCATGTTATAATCAGTGTAGGAGAGATTCTTTGGGACAAGATGCTAATTCGCTGAAATGTGATTTAGGCATCCTCAGCTGTCTGTTTTTCTGATTGGAAACAGAACTTACAAACCAACTAAGAAATACCAAATTAACTTCCAGCAATCATGTAATTTTTAAGAAACCCCATATTCCCACCCCTAATTTTTTCTCTTTCGTTAAAAAACCGAGTAATTCCCTGTTGCTTCTTTCTTTGAGTTTTTGTGTTTCTAGCCAGGTCCTGAAATGGATTGGAGAGACCACAGTCTCCAAAGTTGTTATTCCAATATTCCAATGAATTCTCAGTTGGGAGAATGGAACCTCTGGCATAATTCCCAGAAAACTGGCCTTGTTTCTTCGTGGAAAGTATAGTATAGCCATACAAATGAAAAGAATGGAATTCTGATCCTATCCTACCTACTGACCTTGGACAAAACACTCAGCATCTTTGTTATTCATTGTGTAGTGATGTGTTGGAGGGTACTTCCTGAGGCTATCAAAAGATCAGTAGAGTTCTCTGAGGTGCTTGGAGGGAGAATGATATCCAAATAGAAAATATTTGTGGCATGTGTATGGTTTCTGCTCCATTTTAGGAGAACAATTCAATTTTAGGGAACTACTTGGAATATCTGAAGTATGTTTTTATTTTCTGAAATTGATGAGAGTTACAAGGTGTCTTTAGAGTTAGCACTCTTTCTCATTTTAGAAATGAAAAAGTGGAACCCTGGCTTGGTGATATAGTTTGCTCAAGTCACACAGCTAGTTAGGACAGTGCTGACAACAAACCATGGTTTTCTTGACACCTTGTATTCTGACTAATACCAGTTGGGTCTGCTGATTGCAGGTGACATCATTTACCTCCTCACAAGGATACCCTTGGGATCCACTGGGGAAATTTGAGTCAGGAAAGGGCAGCTTAGTTGGAGTTCCAGATTTCAGGTTCTTTCTAGGGTACAGACTGAGCTCACTAATCTTCATTTAATCTTTTACCAATGTCAGCTCCCTTTTCAAGAAGGTACTCTTAACCTCAAGAATGCTACTTCTTTCCTTGCAATAAACACTCCATAACCCATAAACCAGCTTTAGAAACCTCTGCAAACCTGTAAATGCTAACGTGCACCTTACATCCTATAAGCACACATATTAACAGCTTTCCACTGAGAAATAGTTCATGTAACGTGTATCCATGGATAATGCTGAATATGCTTGTTTTCTCCCTATGTGAGACACATGTGCCAAAGAAAGTATAATCTTTTGCATCTTTTTGGGGAAATGACTTTTCATACTGGGTAAATGTCTGGGTGAGAATGTCCTGCATTCTTATTAGAAGATTGACATTATATTCTGGCTACATGTTGTGGCATTTTATGTAACTGTGGCATTTATTTTTATTATCCTATGTACAATAAAACAACCCAGAGATATCTCTGCATCAGTTGAAATATGCATTACTTCCGAAATGTTGCACTTGTACACGTGGAGATGTGCATCCCAACGGGTGTTGTAAACTGACCAGTATAAAATTTTAGGAGACCCTGCTTTATTGTAAACAGATGCATTTGTTTGGTTTGCTTATCGTCGACCTCTGCCTGACAATATTGCTTCCTCATAGAAATCTTGCCTTGTCGTTCATGAGCATTACTTGGGCTTGCCTTGGCCTCTTTGCATTCACCTGAAGAAGAAACAGGAGCTAAAGTCAAGTTTTCACTTGCTGGAGGTGGGGTGGGTGGTTTGTGTCATCTGGGATTTGGTTGAAGTGTGTGTCCCTGGCTTCAACATCTGCCAACTTGGAGGTGACGAGTTCTCCCATGAGCCCTAACCGGGTGCAAAGTAGTGTATTTTGGATTTCCTCTGAGTAAATATAGAACTCTCTTCTTTGCCCTTGTTCCTATAATGCCAACTAATTATCTCCTCCTCCTTCTCACCCGTTCTGACCAGATGCAGTTAATTTACACTGTCTCTCTTAGAGTTTTCTCATGCGACAGGCATGTTCCTCTGTGGCTGTAGTGAGGCTTGCATGTTCTCTCAAAAGTGTGTGTGTGTATTGGGGGGAGATTTGAGGAGAGACAACAAACATTTCCTCACCAAGGGTCCTCTCCCCCCTTTTCTTTCTTTCATGAATCCAAGGATTTGCAAAAGTTTTGATTGCCAAATTGCAATGAACAAATAATGATTCAGGTGCAATTTTATTTTAATTAAACAGAAAGAAACATTTAACAGAATGGGAAATAAAACTTTCATCCCAGAAATGCCTTTGATATCATCAGTAGTCGGAGTTTTTTACTGGCACTAAGCCACCAGTGTAACTGTGCTCACTCAGTAGATTTCCAGCTAAAAAATAAAGCAACTTGACTTTTTAGTTAGTTTTGTGCCCATATCCTGTTGATCGTATATCTCAAGGCATATGTTTGAGATATTAAGCATATCTTAAGATATATGCTCGAGATATTCAGAATAACATTTACTACCTTGTGGCTCTTCAATGAAAAGTGCTGGCTTTTAGAAGGGAGCACCTCCCTCAGTAACTTAGTTCTCCACTTCCTAAGACTTAGCCTCCAATTTGGATTTTCTGTCTTCTTCTCACCCCACCCCCTAAATTCTTCTGTGCTTTTATCTCTTTTGGAATAGATATATTTTCTTAATGTTTTCAGTTGTCTTTTCAGCATGCTTTTATGAATTCTAGGGGAGCACACCCATCTCCACAAACCAAGCCAACCCGCAGCCCCAGCAGGACTTGCTGCTGCAACGTAGGTCCCCAGTGGAGTCTTCCTTCTATGTAAATGTATGCATGGATGTAACAGGAGTAAAGCTTATTAATTTTTAGTGCACAAAGCCAAACTGTCTGAAAACAAAGAAGCAAAATAGAACAAAACCAAAACGAATAATATCTTGACTGTGGTCTTCAACCTAAAGCTTGTCTTCAAATATCTGTGTGGCAGATGAAAATTGAAGAGGCTGCAGCTGATTTACATTTTGTGGTTTCTAATTCAACTTTATTTACCATAGGCTGTATTCTTGTCAAACTCTCTTCTCTGTCTAGAAGCTTCTTCTGAATATCCTTGCTAGTTTCTGAGGGTTGGAATAATCTGGTGGTCCTTGAAGAAGTATTTAAGTAATAGGCTCACTGACTTGAGAGAAGGGGTGTGCAGGAAGCCCCTCTGATTATTTTCCTTGCAATACCACAAAAAGCCAGATGGTTTGAGGAGAGATTTCCTTTTGGATCTTTGCAGGCTACTCTGGTGTATACTGGTTAGGTATTTTTTTTTTTTGTTATTAATAAAAGGGCAAGCCTGACCTTTGTTGCACATACTCCATGCTTCTTCCTGTTTTTTGTTTTGTTTTGTTTTAGAATGATATTCTCAGACATTTCTGAGCTCTGCTCCCAGAAGCATCATTTTAAGTGCTAGACTGATGAGATCTCTTTCTTTGCTTTATCTAGAAGTCAAACAAAGAAAAGAAGGACCCTCATTCAAAAACTTATGGGGAAAAAAAAATTCTAGTGTTTTGTTACCTGCAAGGGATTTCCCTGTGACTGTCTTTTTTAAATAAACTTTTTCCTGCCTCCATCATGGTAGCATCCTCACCCTCTGCTCTCACCGCTGGCCCAGGTTCTCCTTGGTGCTTCCTCTGCCACCTGGACCAGCCCTTTCTCACCTCTCTCTGCTTCTTTCCTCTGGGCCATTAGTGCCATTCTTCTCCCAAGGGAATCGCTTTGCTCTAGTGAAGGGCTTTTTTTTTTTTGTGGGATGGAAAATGTTAGAGAATAATTGTAGGGTGTGCCATTGCCCACCTGCATGCAGGCTGAATATTCTGTCATTGATAGTAAACATTGGAGTGTTTTTCTTTCCTTTAATTTATCGAGCTATTAACCCACTCTTGATCTATATAGCATGTGCATTGTGTTTGATCCCATTATTTTTTTCAGTCCATAAGTTGTTTGGGGCAGTAGTTGAGGTTAAGCTCTAGGTGGGCTTATGTCCACAAAGCACAGCAGCTTCCTGTGGGCCAAGGCTGCTCAGACAAATGTCCAGACCCCTTCCCTTTTCCCAGAAAGGAGCAAGCTGGCTAGATATGTAGTAACATCTCCCAAATAAAGAATTTTGGCCCTCAGAAGGATGGGTACAGTTAATAAAAAGCATTTACCTAACGTTTACTTGACACTTATTGTGGGCTGAGTATTGTGCTAAGCAATTGGTGTTAATTAAATAATCTTCTTAATTAATCTTCAATGACTGATGAAAGCCTCAATTTTGTGAAAAGTCTCAAATTAGTTTTAAGAAGTTATGTAACACACCCAAGGTTACAGAGCCAGTTTCAGGGGTGATATTAGTTAAAGGGTGGAAGCTACAAAGAGATTTTGGTATAATAGAAAAGGGGGAAACCCCCCACATTGTTCAGAAATTAGAACTGAATGGGAGAGATTTGTGTTATGTCAGTGAAATGCTTCAATATGGTCTGAAAGAACTCCAGGTAGCATTAGAGAGGGGAGTTGTTCTCTGGGAAGTGGTGGGCGCTGTTGGCTG